GGAAGAGACTAAATTATGGTTAAAGAAAATGGCACGTTTCAACTTCAAATCCTCGAATTAATATTTTTTTTCTTAATTGTAGTATTAATGGTTATATGCATTTAGTCCGACTTTATTTAATAAATCATCTATTAACTATTTTTTTTTTTCATTTTAATCTAAGATACTTTATTTTCTTTTAGAATCATCTATTAACTTTCAAAATTATTTCATTTTCGTCTACCCCACGTAACTCCGTTAACAGAGTTAACGAAATTCTACATACAAGATCACGTGCTGCCCTCTTAGCAGCCACATGGCAGGAGCAAATTTCCAGCGGTAGCATTGTTTTTCTTTCATTTTTTTTTTTTGTCCACATGGCAGGAGCAAATTTCCGGTACCATTGTTTCTCTTTCATTTTTTTTTTTTTTTTGACCAGATGGTAGGGGCAAATTTCCAGCAGCATTGTTTCTTTTTCTTTTTTTTTTTTTTTTTGACCAGATGGTAGGGGCAAATTTCCAGCAGCATTGTTTCTATTTCTTTTTTTGTTTTTTTGTTTTTTTCTTTTATCACATCTCAGGAGCAAATTGGCCACGTCATTGCTTGTCTTTATTTTCTTTTGTCACTGTTTTTCTTTAACTAAAACAAAATTTATCATTAGAAAAATAATAAAACTAAAATATAAGTATTTTAAAAAATAAATTTTTTTAACAAGTATCTTTAAAATACAAATTAAAATATATTTATTATATTTTTTTGTAGAAAAATATAATAAATAAATTTTAATTTTACTAACCAACCAATTAAAATCACCTAATATTGAAAACAAAGTTTATTTTTGTAATTTTTCATACAAATTATTAAAAAAGATAAAATAAATGCACTCTTAATTCATATTTTAAAATACATGTTAAAAAAACTTTTATAGAAATAATGTAATGTTAAAACAAAAGTGCAAAATAATTAACTCTTTCATAAAAGAAAAATCAAAAATAAGAAATTGGAATCTAAATTACGTGAAAGTTAATCGATTTATGCTTTTATTTTAATATTACATTATTTCTTTAAAATTTTTTTTAACATGTATTTTAAAAATATGAATTAAGAGTGTATTTATTTTATTTTTTTAATAATTTGTATGAAAAATTACAAAAATAAACTTTTTTTCAATATTAGGTAATTTTAATTGGTTAGTTAGTAAAATTAAAATTTATTTTTATATTTTTCATTGAAAAAAATATAATAAATATATTTTTAATTTTTATTTTAAAGATACTTGTTTCAAAAATTTATTTTTTTAAAATACTTATATTTTAATTTTATTATTTTTCTACTGATAAATTGTTTTAATTAAAGAAAAACGGTAATAAAAATAAAATAAAAAGAAACAATGATGTGGCAAATTTGCTCCTGAGATGTGATAAAAAAAACAAAAGACGAAAAAAGAAAGAGAAAAAATGCTGTTGAAAATTTGCCCCTGCCATGTGGCAAAAAAAAAAAGGAGAAACAATGCTGCTGCTGGAAATTTGCTCCTGTCATGTGACTACTTGCATGGCAGCACGTGATCCCATGTGTAAAATTTTATTAACTTGTTAATGAAGTTATTTGGGGTAGATGAAAATGAAACAGTTTGAAAAGTAAATAAAGAAAATAAAGTTTTTAAATTAAAATAAAAAAATAATTAACAGATAATTTATTAAATTAACAGATAATTTATTAAATTAAACCATATTTCTCCCTAACGAAGTGGTAATATGAGAGCAACGTTTAGACTGACCGCGTCGCACGAAATCCCTACCCATCCACAGTCCGTTCCTCGAAATACTATAAAATTGTAACCCTCCTCCTAACCATATCTTTTAATTAGGAAAAAAAAAAAGAGAAAAAAACCCTAGCTCTCTTTCGTCTCTGCTGACTCGCGACGACAACCATGGAGGGCAGCACCATGTCGTTTTTCGGTAATTCATCTCTCCTTGGGGTTCATCGATTAGGATTTCCATCCTTCGAATTTTGTTATCAATCGACTGAGAATGCTGGAAATTTTTCTTTTTTTTTTTTCAGAATTATTTTGTCAATTTCTCCTGTGTAGTTTATGTATTCTGTTTTCCATCCTTAACTGCGATAATCCTAAGTGGAAAAACAATGGATGATGCTAGTATCATGTGTTTGTGGTGTTTATCAACCAATGTTGTTAGTCAGACATTGTTAAATTTTGAATCACTCATCCATACTAGTGTTTATGGTGTTTTTGGCTGGCAGGATTTTGATTTATGAACTATTTATAACCTCTGAATTTTGCACTTTGAAGTTTAATTATGGTTTTGTTTGTGGGTGTCTCTTTGAAGTATATGATTTTTTTTTGCAGTAACGTTGGTTTAGTAGTAGGGTGACAATTAGACAATGTTTGTTGTTTGCATCCATTATATTAACCAGACCGACGTTACAAAACATCCGGATATAGGAATTCTTGGGATATCTTAGGACCATGATGGGAATTGGGATTGTCTGATAGATGGGCAATGGGTCATATTAGGAATTCTGTTCTGTGAAGGTTAGTTCTAATATTATTTACAATTTGGAGGTGTCAAGGTGTTGAATCGCACCATTGCTAATTTGCAGCTGCCTGTGTTTGCTTTTTGTTAGTCTTTCCCTTTTGAATGTTGTCTTCTACAGCTTTATTTCTGTTTGAAATAGATGATAATATCTTTAACATCTAGGTGTTGAGGTCAAAAGTGGACAGTCTCTTAAGGTTGAACCTTCCAGGGACAAGGTTTTGCATCTTTCACAGGTTAATTAACTTTTGACTTAAATGTTGCATTTAACATTGTCCACCATATTGCAGTGTTTATTTTGATCTTTTGTTATCATAGGCTGCCCTTGGCGAGGTGACTGGTGATGCCAAGAAAGACAAAGGAAATGAATCTGTTTACCTGTATCTCAAGTTTGATGGTCAGAAGTTTGTTCTAGGAACACTTTCACATGATAAATTCCCACTGATACCTTTTGATCTGGTGTTTGAGAAAGAATTTGAGCTTTCCCATAGCTGGAAGATTGGTAGTGTCTATGTTTCCGGCTATTATGTTTATTATCAATCAAAGGAATCTGATGGTAAGTCATTCTGGCAGTCTCTGATAGTTTTTTCATGTTGATAAATTCTTATATATATATATATATAAAAATCGTATGTTGTTTTATTTCTATTTCATTTTTCAGTAGATGAGCTTGAACTTCCAGCAGCAAAGACTGATACTACCGAGCCTACTGCTAAGCAAGTGAAGATTGTGGAACCAAAAAAGGAAGAAGATGGTGGTGATGATAATCATTCTTCTGATGAGGATGATTCTTCTAATGATGATGAGTCCAATGATGATCAGGTAGATATGTCTGGGGAAATAGATTTGTGAAACATCTTCTGAATCATCAATTGTCAGAAAGAAGATATGCACCTAATGAGTTCTGTAAATTAGTCATGCTTACTTTCAAATGCATGTTTCAGCATGGCTTATGTCACCTAGTTCTCTTTAAAGATAATGTGATCCTTTTCTTTTCTTGTCTTTAATTCCTAGTTCCTTTTGCACTCTCTTTTGGAAAAGCAAAATGTTATAAACCTGATAAAGTATTGAGTTTAGTCTATTTTGGATTTCACTTTCCTCAATCTGCTATCCTGTTCAAATCAGTCCTTGTACTTCTACATTAGTGACACAATTGGGAGAAAATGCTTTGTTATTACTCTTAATTTTTCTTGTTCATTAGAAGGATCAAGAGTTGTTGCATAATGGTGAGAATGAGAGTGATGAAGACTCTGAAAGTGATGAAGAGGATAGCGATGATGAAAGTTCAGATGAGGATCAAGAGACACCTGAGAAGGTAAGTAATCACCACGTTTACATTCATTGAACAGTTTGAAATGCTTCTAATTGTTTTGTACCTTGCTGTTCTAATACATTCTGATTGGTTATGCTTTGTTCATATGTGGAGGTTGAACCAAGCAAGAAGAGATCTGCAGAACCTTCTACCCCCGTTCCTGGTAAAAAGGCAAAAGTGGAAAACCCTGTGAAGGCTGGTATGTTTCTTTGTGATCCTTTGGGTTTGATAGAAGCATAACACTGAGCACATGTAACTTGGTAGTAACCCATTAACCACACAAAGGTTGTCTTCCCTTATTATCCCTCCTCTTATGTAATGAAATGATTATTTTTTCCTTTTAGGTAAACTAATGAGGTACATGTTGCCAGCTTTGGTCTGGATTAAAACTGGTTGTAGTTTTTATTTGAATTTATGATAGTTCTCTAAGTTATGATGCAGATGGCAAGAAAGTGGGTGGTCACACAGCAACTCCTCACCCTTCTAAGCTAGATGAAAAGACCATTGCCAAAAATGCTCAGACGAAGCAGACTCCAAAAGCTGTTGGTTCGCACGTGTGCAATTCTTGTGGCAGGTCTTTATCTTGTTCTTGTGAAGCATTTAAGCAAACTGTAATTTGTTCTTTTTTGTTTTAATTTTAAGTGGCCATGTTTTCTTTCATTCCATCTGCAGGAAATTTGGGTCTGATCATGCTTTGCAAGCTCATTCAAAGGCCAAACATAGTGCTGCAGCATAACGTGCTTAATATTCTAGTCTGACACCTCATCGCCCAAATTTTTCTTAACCTGGTACTTTGGGATGGGGGTGCAGAGGAAGCCGGGCAGAGTTACATGAATATGAGAATAGGTTAAGGTTATAATCAGGTGTATAGCTTGTTTTTGGTTTTTCTGTACCCACCTGTATGGGGTATTTAGTAACCTGAATGTTAGACCTGCTCGGATTTTCTGTGTTGGTTTTGAAACTTTGAATGCTGTTTTTATTTTTATTTTTTTCGATGGGATTGAATACTGTTTTTAAGTCTATATATAGGCAAAATATTTCAACAAAAAAGTATTGAAAATTTATAATCATGATATGTTGTATAATTAATTCATTTTATTTAAAAATATACTTGTAACATGTCATAATTGTAAATTTATAGTGTTATAATTATAGCTTTCTTATTTTGATTTCTTCACCTGGCATAACTGCTGCGTTTTTTAGGTACAACCCCCGGTAGACCACATGTGGTTGACTTACCGCCATTAGGATAAGTTTGGAAAATTTTTCATATAAAAATTGATTATATAAAGGACATCATTCAATCTTATTTATGAAGTTTTAAAATTGAGTCCCCCACATTTCAGTAAGGGCAGAAAAGGTTCTAAGAATGATGTTAATTTTGTATTCTTTTATTTAAAAATATTGATTTTATTAGTTTTTAAATAATAATGTTAATTTTTAATTTTTTATTTAAAAATATAAACTTTTAAGTTTTTTAATTTAAGATTAATTAGATAATAATAATGATGTAATAAACAAATTTTTTTTAAAATTAATATTTTTAAATTTAAAAAAAATGACAGTTTTAATTAAAAAATGAAAAAAATTATATCTTTAAATAAAAAAATAAAAATTAATCTTTTTTTTAAATTAAAAAAATTAATCTTTTTAAAAAAATAAAAAAAATTAATATTTAAAAAAAAATAAAAAAATTAATATATTTATTTGTACGTTTTCTCTCAACAAGAACTATATTTGAGAACTCTTGGCTAGAGCAATTGGTAGCTCCCCGCATAGGAGTACTCATAGGCCTCGAGTTCGAGGCCATCTTCCTCCCTTTTCACGTAGTCCCTTGGTAACCTGATAAAAAAAAAAAAAAAGAACTATATTTAATTGTTCAATTTGAATACTAAAATTATTAGAGTGCCCTTAATAAATCATCATGGGGAAGAGATTTTCTAGAAGCTACTTTGGTAGTCTCATAGCCTGGCTTTTATTTTATTTTTTAACAATTAAAGACTAAACCACATTTTTGTTTACCAATAATATGAACAATTGTTTATCCTCCATGGGACTTGTGAGGTTTGTACAAACTTATTAGGTTTAATGTTAATTTTGGTTCTTGAATTTCGCTATGATACATTTTTCTTAAACAATATTTTACATTTTTTTAGCCTCCTAATAATGTGCATTTTTGTTGCTCTTCTGTCAATGGAAGCCTACTTAATTTTATGAAAATAATAGATTCGGTTTTTTTTTCTATTTCCATTTAATTATCTGATTTTTGAATGAATTCCACCTACACGATAAGTTGGCATTAAGTGATGAATTGAAATATAAGTTGACCCCTTTTTTAATCAAATTTAATGTTGAGTCCCACAAAACATGCACATGCCATTAAAAGTTTAAAAATAAATGAACGTTTTAATTGACTTAACTTAATGAGCCACTTGGACTTTCGTTGAGGGAATGACAAAAAAATGCATGCTATCAAAGAGTGTAGAAAATTGTCTAGGGACCAAAACAGTGTATCAAGATAAAGTTTGGGGACTAAAGTTAGTATCTAACCTTATAAGTTTAAAGAAAAATTTAAGGTTGAATGCTAATTTTGGTTCCTCAACTTTATAAATTTGCATTTTTTTGGTCTCTCAACTCTAAGAAATGCACAACATTAGTCCTTTCATTAGTTTAAGCCATTAACTTCATCCACGTGACATTTTTTATATTTTTTTTATGACATGAAAGACACAACTTAAAAAGGTGTTGATATAGACAAAACATTATGCCATATCATGTTCACGTGAGTTAAAGGTGCCAAAAGCCACTCAAATGAGTCCCACATTACCTACAAAGCACCAATAAAAGGGTAAAATGTCTATGAACCCTAGATCGATCATAACCCATATCTTCTTCTCTAAATGCTCTCTCATCTCCACTCCTTTTATAAAATCGATCATAACCCATTTCTTCTTCTTCTCTGAATGTTCTCTCATCTACACTCCATCTACAAAATTGATCTTAACCAATTTTTTCTTCTTCTCTTTTCTCGGGGGAACTTGAGAAATTGACCAAATGCAAGGAATTCGTGACGAGATTTGCTCGACTTGGGTTGCCTCTACTATTAGTGGGGGTGAATCCTTACAATATGTCTATGATTGTGGTTTGAATGCTGTGGTGTGAACATCGTTCACTTACCAAAACATGGGGAAAAGGTTTCGTAGGTGCCCTAAGTTGGTGGTATGTTCTATCTTAAAGTTTAATTTTGTTTGCATTGAATTTTCTTTTTTGATTTAATGATTTAACCTTGTTAGAAACCTTGCAACTACTTCGATTTTCTTCCTGGTGAAGAGACAATCGAAGGCAGATCAAGAGAGTTGCTTTTAATATTAAAAGACAGGGAACATAAGCTAAAGAGAGAGAATGAGAAATTGAGCAAGCAAAATACTGATTTGGTGCTGGAAAATGGGAATTTGAAGAATGAAAATGAGACTTTAAACAATGATAATGGGTATTTGGCAAATCGGTATGAATTATGGATGAAGAAGATGAAGACAGCTGAGAAGAAATTGAAAAAGTTGGATAAGGATTACCGGACATCAAATAAAGTCAACCACATAATTTGTGTAGTTTTTGTTGTGTTCGTGGTTGTACTTGTCATATTAGTTGGTGTGTTTAGGTTGATGTAATGGACATATATAGGTGTTATATCTATATATAATGTTTTTGTTATATTTTTGGCAATTCCCAAATCTTGAAATGCAATGCATTCCATTTCTAGGTAACACAGTCTTCCTTGCTATCATAGAGTAAGATGAATGCAATTTCTGAGTTGTTTCAATTGCATTTCTATACCAACTTCTGCACAAAGGCATTCTGGTATCCAAAGATAGGCAAAATTGGCAATTGGTCATTTACCTAAAGCAGTTCACAAAAGTCAATACAAGCATTTCATTAATCCCAATATAAAAATTACAATGTATATACAGTCACATACAAAATATATGTTGTCCAAGTCCAAAAGAAAAGCACATTATACCAGATTTCGTGCTAAATACAACAAACAACCTAAACTTCCATATTTGTCCAAAAACAAGCGTCCATGCAATACCAAATGCAGTACATACCTTAATCTGTCCAAAATAGAAGCACACTCTAAACACACAACAAAAAAACTTGACACTATAAACATTTGATTGTTTATTTGTGTGAATTTTAGTCAATAACTCCACCCAACGACCAAGTGCTTCTTTTTCCTTTTGCCTTCTTTTTTCTCATAATAGTGCTTGCAAGTCAGTGGCAATAACAAATTGCCTACTACTTCCTGAGGGAGTTGTTGTTGTTATTGGTGGAGGTGCCATTGGTGCAGGTACTGTTGGTGCAGGTGTTGTTGGTGCAGGCGTTAGAGCTATGGCGGGGATTCCTCTATCTCCAACTCTTGCAACCCTCTTCTGAGCCTATTTGAAAGACAAAATTCTTTCACTTCTATCTCCAAGCTATAATAAATATTAATGGCATTAAGCAAGCACAATACACTAAATTAATTTTGCATGAAAATAAGAAGAACATAAAGCTAAAGCTAAACTAATCCACATACATTTAATTTGGAAAACATGTATTTGGATTCACATATGTTCCAAAACCTTCAAATTTCTGCTTCTGCTTCCACTTCCCTTTTGAATAAGCATGCTTCACTTTTCAAGTTTTTGTAGACTATGAATGGGTTTTAGACAGAGGTGCAGATGGAAAATCCTAAATATTAGATGCAACACCACTCTATGTACATAGAAATATTGTGAGATTTTTATCAACTAATAAAAAAAATACTTAAGTTGTTATTTACCTCTTACACAATTGGGGTTGGGGTATTTTTCCTTGCTCTCTTTTCAGCCTTCTTCTACAAAATGATCCACAATGTTAGCATTATTTTATGGTAAAAAATTAAATTAAAAAAAAAAAAACTGAGTTGTTAAATCCATTACTGGCTGATGAGCGCTTCTAGCTCTCTTTTTCCTTCTCGTAGTGGGAGTTGTGGCCTATTGAACTGGTGGAGTTGGGCTAACTACTTGACTCACTGGAGTATCTTCTTGGGTCATGTTCACTAGTTCTTTCTCAGCAATGCATGGCTGGTTGTCTTCTCCATGGGGTGGTTGCTCCTCAGTAAGGCATTGCTGGTTGTCCTCAACAGTGAGGGCTGGCTGTCATCAACAGAGGGCGGATGGTTGTCCTCAACAGGGGGTGGTTGCTCCAAAAATGGTTCATCATCCGTTTCGGGCACCTAAAAATGGTAACCAAAGTATAATTAACTTAGTACACCAATATAGAGAGAAAAATAAAGCTAAACATACATCTTTGGATGTTACTTACATTTGGTGGTTGGCCTTTACACGATCTGGAATTGTGACCTTTTTGAAAGCATTTTTGGCAGGTTATTTCTCTTCCTTGTCTTCCCATTTTTGTCCTTCCTTCCCATTCTTCAAGATTTGTTTTTTCTTAGGCTTGTCAAGCATCTTCCTCAGTTAGGTGGCTGTATGGCTGGCATCCCTGTTGGTGTCCACTGATTCATGCCTTTGACAGTTAGTACCTCATATACATAAAAGGCCCTAAATGTTGACAACTTGTACCAACCTGAAACATATTCTTCAACTCTCAATTTATTTTAACTCAATACTGTCATGGCATGCCTACAAGAAATCTCAGATAGATCCCAATACCAACAGGTGCATTTTTTATCTTTCAAGTTTATAATATAAGTGTTTCTGCTTGAATCCACTTTATTGTTACTATTCATGTAATCCTCAACTTCGTAACCAACTCCATTAGGCCATAGGACTTTGCATTTCTTACTACCTTCCCTATTCTGTACAATCTTAGTCCATATTTTAGGGCCAAATTCTCTTACAAACTTAGTAGATCCAAACTCTCTCTTAGCAACTGTTCTTGTTGCACACATAACTCTCATTTCTTGATTCATAGAAATTATCGCCTTGTGTTGTGCATCAACAAGTAAGGCATTTAACAGCTCACACATGTTATTGTCGACCATAGATGACTTAATTTCAGCTTTGAAAAAAGCTCTACTCCAATGCTTAGGATCTACATTCATTATGCCATCCCTTGCTGTAGGCTTCAATTTGCCTAACTCTGCTAAGGCTGCATTGAATTCTGCCTCATTTAATGCCTTCACATATCTCCAAAATAAGGCTTGCATTTCCTTCCCTTTGTGTTTCTTCCTGAAGTTGGCATATCTATGCCTAGCACAATGTCTATGTTCTGCATTTGGAAAAAGGTTTGCAATGACATTTATCAACCCTTGCAT